CTATCAAATAACTGGGTTGGCCAAAAAGTTCATTTGGGTTTTACATAACATCTAGTTATATGAAAAATGCCATTGGTATTGGGTTAGCCAAAAAGTTCATTCAGGTTTTTCCAAACTAATACCAATGGCATTTTTCATATAACTAAAACAAATAATTTAAAATCTGTGCAGACCCCAATGTTCATCGCAGCATTGTTTATAATAGCCAGGATGTGGAAGCAACCTAGATGCCCATCAGCAGACGAATGGATAAGGAAGCTGTGGTACATATACACTATGGAATATTACTCAGCCATTAAAAAGAATTCATTTGAATCAGTTCTAATGAGATGGATGAAACTGGAGCCCATTATACAGAGTGAAGTAAGCCAGAAAGATAAAGACCATTACAGTGTACTAACACATATATATGGAATTTAGAAAGATGGTAACGATAACCCTATATGCAAAACAGAAAAAGAGACACAGATGTATAGAACAGACTTTTGGACTCTGTGGGAGAGGGTGAGGGTGGAATGTTTCAAGAGAACAGCATCAAAACATGTATATTATCTAGGGTGAAACAGATCACCAGCCCAGGTTGGATGCATGAGACAAGTGCTCGGACCTGGTGCACTGGGAAGACCCAGAGGGATCGGGTTGAGAGGGAGGTGGGAGGGGGGATCGGGATGGGGAATACATGTAAATCCATGGCTAATTCATGTCAATGTATGACAAAAACCACTACAATATTGTAAAGTAATTAGCCTCCAACTAATAAAAATTTAAAAAAAATAAAAAATAATAATAAAATAAAATCTGTGCAGAAATGCCAAAGATCCAAGATAGCCAAAATAATCTTGAGAAAAAAGACTAGAGTTGGAGGACTCACTCTCCATGATTTGCACTCATGTGACAATGTAGCCAAACATGTGAACTAACAATGTGAATGGACACACCAAGGCACGCACATTTGCCTCTTTGAAAGTTTGCAACTTGAAGGTTTGTATGTAGGAGACTTACTGTGATGGAAATAAAACAAAAATAAGTGGGACATAATTAAACAGTACATTTTGCACAGCAAAGGAAACCTAAACAAAAAGAAACCTATGCAGCAGGAGAAAATATTTGCAAATGATGTATCAGACAAGGGATTAACTTCCAAAATATATAGACAGCTTATGCAGCTCAATATCAAAAAAACAAACAATTCAATCAAAAAATGGACAGAAGACCTAAATAGGAATGTTTCATTTTTCCAAAGAAAACATACAGATGGCCAATGGGCAATGAAAAAATGCTCAATGTTGCTAATTATTAGAGAAATGCAAATCAAAGCTACATCATGGTAGCTCTATTACCTCATACCAGTCCAAATGGCCATCATCAAAAAGGCTACAACTAATAAATGCTGGAGAGGATACGGAGAAAAGGAAAGCCTACTTCAGTGTTGGTGGGAATGTAAATTGTGCAGCCACTATGGAGAACAGTATGGAGGTTCCTTAAAAAACTGAAAATAGAGTTATCATATGACCTGGCAATTCTACTCCTCAGTATATATCTGGAAAGGACAAAAACTAATTTGAAGAGATACATGCATCCCAATGCTCATAGCAGTACTATTATTATATACTTGGTATATTATTATATACCAAGACATGGAAGCAACCTAATGTCCACAACAGATGAATGGATAGAGAAGATGTGATATATATATATATATATATATATATATATATATATATATATAGTGGAATATTACTCAGCCATAAAAAATGAAATAATGCCATGACAGTAACATCAGTGGACCTAGAGATTATCACACTAAGTGAAATGTCAGACAAATATCATATGATATCACTTATATGTGGAATCTAAAAAAATGATACAAATGAACTTATTTATAAAACAGAAATAAATTCACAGACATTGAAAACAAAGGCACAGTTACCAAAGGGGAAAGGGCAGGAGGAGGGAGGGGTGAATTAGGAGTTTGAGATGAATGATATACCTTACTATACATAAAAGAGATAAACAACAAGGTCCTACTGTATTGCACAAGGAACTATGTTCAATATCCTGTAATAACCTATAATGGGAAAAGTCTGAAAAAGAACATGATATAAATACATAATGAATCACTTGGCTGTACACCTGAAACTGACGACACTATAAGTCAACTACACGTCAGTAATAATAATAAAAAAAGAGAGACAGCCAAGAATGCACAGGGGGAAGGATAGTTTCCTCAACAAATGGTTTTGGAAAACTGGGTATCCACATATAGAAATAATGAAATCAAACCCTTATAAATTAAAGACTTAAATATAACACCTGATACTGTAAAACTCCTAAAATAAAAAATACAGGAAAAGTTTCTTGGCACTGGTCTTGATAATTTCTTGGATATGACACCAAAATCATAGGTAACAAAAGCAAAAGTAGATAACTGTAACCACATAAAACTAAAAAGGTTTGGAACAGTAAAGGACACAATCAACAAAATAAAAGGTAACCTACCTCTTATTGGTAGGAAGAAAATATTGTGAACATTATACTTAAGGGGTTAATATCCACAATATATAAATAAGAAAGTCCTACAACCCAGTTAAAAAAATAAAAATTTGATTAAAAAAATGTAGAATAGATATTTCTACAAAGAAGACATGCAAGTGGCCAACAGGTATATGAAAAGGTGTTCAACAGCACAAAGCATCAGGGAAATGCAAATCAAAACCATAACGAAACGTTACCTCCTCACATCTGTTAAAATGGCCAGTATAAAAAAAGAAAACAAGTGTTGATGAGATGCAGAGAAATTGGACCCTTGTACACTGCTGGTAGAAATATAAATTGGTGCAGGCACTATGGAAAGTACTATGGAGATTCCTCAAAAAACTAAAAATTGAACTACCATATGGTTAACAATCCCATTTCTGGGCACATGTCTAAAATAATTGAAAGAATGATCTCAAAGAGATACCTACACTTCCATGTTCATTGCAGCATTATTCATAATAGCCAAGATGCAGAAACCACTTATAAATATCCATTAAAGTAGACTACATAAAGAAAATGCAATATATAATACAATGAATATTGATCACCCTTAAAAAGGAAGAAAATCTTGCCATGTGCAATAATATGGATGAACCTTGAAGACATGCTAGGTGAAATCAGTCATTCACAGTAGGGCAAATATTGCATAACTCCACTTATCTAAAATAGTCACGCTCATAGAAACAGTAGAATGGTGGTTGCTAGGTGCCAGGGAAATGGGAGGTATTGTTCAATGAGTATAAAGTTTCAGTCCTGCGAGATGAACAAGTTCTAAAGACAACATAGTGCCCATAGTAACGACAGTAACATAGCGTTACCTGTAAAACACAGTGCTTAAAGGAACAATACTGCTTGTACACTTAAAATTTGAGGGTAATTCTCACATTAAATGTTCTTACCACAATAAAAAATACATAAATAAGATATAAGAACATAGAAAGTAAAGGAATTTAAAAGATATCCCAGGCAATTACTTATCAAAAGTAAGTCAGTGTGTAGCTACCTTAATATGAGAAATCAGACTGTAAGGGAAAATGTATTACTAGGGTTAAAAAGGGTCACATAATGATGAATTGTAACTCATCAGTAACATACAATGATCCTGAAGCTTTAAGAATCTAGTAAAACCTCAACCTCAGAAGTTGGGTGTGGCCTTGTTACTTCTGGGTGGAAGCTCTAAGAATTACCATGTGCTTTGCCACATGCTCGTTTCTCTCCACCATGGCAATCGGGACTGTCCAGATGGTACCTTCTCCATCAGCCTGGGACCCAGAGTGAGGAAAATGAAAATATGACAAGCAATTCATGATGCACATGGAGCATGAGTTAAGAAACAAACCTTTACTGTGCTGTTTGTGTTTCTCTTGTTGTTTTTGGCTGCATCGGGTATTTGTTGCTCCTGTGGGCTTTCTCTAGTTGCAGCAAGTGGAGACGACTCTCTGCTTGTGGTGTGTCGGCTTCTCTGGCAGCTTCTCCTGTTGTGGAGTACTGGCCCTAGGGTGCGCAGGCTTCAGTAGTTGCCACTTGCGGGCTCTAGGTGTTGTTCGGTCGCTAAGTTGTGTCCGACTCTTTGTGACCCCATGGACTGCAGCACGCCAGGCTTCCCTGACCTTCACTATCTCCCAGAGTTTGCTCAAACTTACGTCCATTGAGTCAGTGATGCCACCCAACCATCTCATCCTCTGTCACCCACCCCTCCTCCTCCCCTCAATCTTTCCCAGCATCAGGGTCTTTTCCAATGAGTCAGCTCTTCACATCAGGTGGCCAAAATAGTTGTGGTGCATGGGCTTAGTTGCTCCATGGCATGTAGAATCTTCCTGTATCAGTGATTGAACATTGGCAGGTGGATTCTTAACCACTGGATTACCAGGGAAGTCTGTGGGCTGTTTGTTTTTGACAGCTTTACTGAGGTATAGTCAACATGCAGTGGTGCTGCAGCTAAGACCTGGAACAATCAAATAAATAAATTTTAAAAATATTTTAAAAAGGAAGTATTAAACATGCAATGAACTACACATATTTAAGTCTACAGTTTATTAAATTTTGACACAGATATGCACCTGTAAAGCCATCACCACAATCAAGATACTGAATGCATACATCATCCCCCAAATTTCTTCATGTCCTGTGTGATCCTCCCTCTCATCTTCACCCTCTACTTGTTCCAGGTGACCAATGGATCTGCTTTGGTCATTGTAGATCACTTGCATTTTTCTGGAATTTTATATACATGGAATTATATAGTATGTACTCTTGTTTTGTTTGTCTTTCACTTGGCATAATTATTTTGAAATTCATGCATGATGACGACTTCATAAATAGTTCATCTATTCTTATTGTTGAGTTGTATCCCATCATATAGCTGTACATTTATCTATTTATCCATTCACCTCAGTTCAGTTCAGTCGCTCAGTCATGTCCAACTCTTTGCGATCCCATGGACTGCAGCACACCAGGCCTCCATGTCCATCACCAACTCCCAGAGCTTACTCAAACTCATGTCCATTGAGTCCGTGATGCCATCCAACCATCTCATCCTCTGTTGTCCCCTTCTCCTCCCGCCTTCAATCTTTCCCAGCACCAGGGTCTTTTCAAATGAGTCAGTTCTTCGCATAAGGTGGCCAAAGTATTGGAGTTTCAGCTTCAGCATCAGTCCTTCCAATGAATATTCAGGACTGATTTCCTTTAGGATGGATGGGTTGGATCTCCTTGCAGCCCAAGGGACTCTGAAGAGTCTTCTCCAATACCACGGTTCAAAAGCATCAATTTTTCAGCATTCAGCTTTCTTTATAGTCCAACTCTCACATCCATACATGACTGCTGGAAAAACCATAGCTTTGACTAGACAGATCTTTGTCGGCAAAGTAATGTCTCTGCTTTTTAATATGCTATCTAGGTTGGTCATAGCTTTTCTTCCAAGGAGCAACTGTCTTTTAATTTCATGGCTGCAGTCACCATCTGCAGTGATTTTGGAGCCCAAAAAGATAAAGTCTGTCACTGTTCCCACTGTCTCCCCATCTGTTTGCCATGAAGTGATGGGACCTGATGCCATGATCTTAGTTTTTCTAGATGTTGAGTTTTAAGCCAACTTTTTCACTCTCCTCTTTCACTTTCATCAAGAGGTTCCTTAGCTCTTCTTTGCTTTCTGCCGTAAGGGTCCATTCACCTATTAATGGACATTTTGATTGTTTCCAGTTTTTGCCTATTACAAATGAAGCTACTATGAACATTCCTGTAGAATTCTTCGTGTAGACACATGCTTTCATTTCTCTTGGGTAAATCCCTAGGAATGGCTGGATCAGATGATAGACATATATTTATTTACTTTTTGAAGAAACTGCTGAACTGTTTTACAAAGTGTACCATTGTGGTTTTAATTTTCATTTCCAAAATAACTAATAATATTGAAAATCTTTTTATGAGCTTATTCGTCACCCATTTATCATCTTTGGTGAAGCGTCTGTTCAAATATTTGCCCATTTTTCATTGGGTTTTTTGTTTTCTTTTTCAACCCCAAACTTCTCATCTTTGGAAGACACTGTTAAGAGAATAAAAACACCAGTGAGGGTGGGTTGTGTGACTATAAATGGTAGAACAAGGGAGATCTTTGTGGTAATAAAATAGTTTTGTATTTTGATAGTGGTGTGATTACACAAATATGCACATATTATAAATAATACATAACAGTATCAATGTTATATTCCTGGTTTTGATAGTATATCATAATTATATAATGTTAGATAATAGAAAATATATATATTAGTCTCTGCCCCTGGTTCTTGGCACAGAGCTCCTAAAACCTTTGCAATTTCCTAAGTGATAAGAGCACTCAAAACATCTTTTGTTTCAGTATTTGGCCTTTAACACCATCCCTGATACAGGGCGCTAAGTCCCTTGGAATTTCCTAGGTGATAGGAGGGTCATTTGTTTTAATGAAGTGACTCTGGGTGGACTCCTGGATAGCTCTTAGTTAGGGGCTGTCATCAGAAGGACCAAGCCATGATTAGAAGCTTGGAATTCTCCCTTCCACTCTGCATAACCCCTCCCCCATCAGAGAGGTTGAAAATGAAGTTAATAATTGATCATGCCTACCTGAGGAAGCCTCCATAAAAATCTCAGCAGAAGGGGTTTGTGGAGCTTCCAGGTTGGTGAACAAGTCCACATTCTGGGAGGGTGATGCAACCCGACTCCACAGGGTCAGAAGCTCCTGTAATTGGGACCCTCCCAGACCTCACCCTCTGTATCTATCCCTCATCTGGCTATTCATTTATGTCATTCATCATATCTTTTCCTAAACTGTTAAACATCAGTCAGTGTTTCCCTGAGTTCTATGAGCCATTCTAGCAAATAACTGAAGGGAGAGGAGGTCATGGGAACCAAGTTAGACAGAAGTTGTGACTAATCTGGGGTCCTACCATTTGCTATTGGCCTGTAACTGTGTGTGTGGGTGGTGGCGGGGGAAGCATCTTAGGGTGGGACTGAGCCCTTAACCTGTGGGGTCTGACACTTTCTCCAGGAAGACTGTGCTAAACTGGAGTTAGGTTGCAGGACACTAGCTGGTGTTGAAGAGAACTGCTTGTGAGGAACCTCCTTACTCCCACATTTGTGTCAGAGTGTTGTGAGTGTGAGACGGTGTGTGTGACGTGGTGTGGGAGTAAAGGAGAAACACAGGAGGGAGACTGGGTTTTCCTAACTCAATAGCCATTGGGGGAAACTGCACGAAGAGTACATGGGGTCTCTGTACTATTTTTGCAACTATCTGTGAATATAAAATTATTTAAAAAAAAACAAAAAACCCACAGACATTCTAAAATAAATTGTGCTTCAACAACTGATCATATATTAGGGAGAAAATAAAATTGGATCCCTATCTTACAATATACATAAAAGTCAATTCCTAGAATATTAAAGGCCTTAATCTGAATAGAAAATTATTAGGGAAGAAATATGGAAATTGTCTTTGTGACTGCAAGATAGGAAAATACTTCCTAATGTTCAAAAAGAAAAAACCAAAAGGAAGAAAATCAATAAACTTGACTACATTTATATTAAGCATTTAGATTCACATAAAGTGAAAAGATAAGCTACAAACTGAAAGAATAAGTGCAACACATAAAATTGAGTAAAATTTAATATCTAGACTATATAAATTACTTCTATACATCAATAAGAAAAGACAATTCAATCAGTAAAATGGACAAAGAAATGAATGGTATTTTCACTTAGGAGAAAGCATAAATAATCTATAAACATATGAAAAAAATTTCTGGTTCATTTGAAATCAGGGAAATGTAGGTTGAAATCATAATAAAACCCAATTACACAGCCACTAAATGCAAAAGTGAGATAACACCAAATGTTAGCTAGAATATGGAGTAATGGGAACTTTCACGTGTTGCTGATATTGGTTGTAAACTGGAGAAGTTCCCTAGGGAAACAGTATGTTATTGCCTTAATAAGCTGAGCAATGCATATCCTCTGCAAGTTAGGAATTCTCCTGTGAGGTATATTTCCTAGAGAGCTCTTGCAGCTTGGCACCAAGAGACATGTACAGGAATGCTGATAGCTACATTGCCTATAATAACAAAACTGATGGCTTCATAGTTTTAAGATCTTTCTATGTTATTTCATGAAGCTGTATTTGATTTTCACCACTCTATTGTATGAATATTATTGTATTAGGGAACACCACAACTTATTTAACTACTCTCTTCATTAAAAGCATTAAAGCACCAGGCCCAAGCACTTGTCTCATGCACCCAACCTGGGCTGGTGATCTGTTTCACCCTAGATAATATACGTGTTTCGATGCTGTTCTCTTGAAACATCCCACCCTCGCCTTCTCCCAGAGTCCACAAGTCTGTTCTATACATCGGAGTCTCTTTTTCTGTTTTGCATATAGGGTTATCGTTACCATCTTTCTAAATTCCATATATATGTTAGTATACTGTAATGGTCTTTATCTTTCTGGCTTACTTCGCTCTGTATAATGGGCTCCAGTTTCATCCATCTCATTAGAACTGATTCAAATGAATTCTTTTTAATGGCTGAGTAATATTCCATGGTGTCTATGTACCACAGCTTCCTCATCCATTCGTCTGCTGATGGGCATCTAGGTTGCTTCCATGTCCTGGCTATTATAAACAGTGCTGCGATGAACATTGGGGTGCACGTGTCTCTCTCAGATCTGGTTTCCTCGGTGTGTATGCCCAGAAGTGGGATTGCTGGGTCATATGGAAGTTCTATTTCCAGTTTTTTAAGAAATCTCCACACTGTTTTCCATAGTGGCTGTACTAATTTGCATTCCCACCAACAGTGTAAGAGGGTTCCCTTTTCTCCACACCCTCTCCAGCATTTATTGCTTGTAGACTTTTGGATAGCAGCCATCCTGACTGGTGTGTAATGGTACCTCATTGTGGTTTTGATTTGCATTTCTCTGAGAATGAGTGATGTTGAGCATCTTTTCATGTGTTTGTTAGCCATCTGTATGTCTTCCTTGGAGAAATGTCTGTTCAGTTCTTTGGCCCATTTTTTGATTGGGTCATTTATTTTTCTGGAGTTGAGCTGCAGGAGTTGCTTGTATATTTTTGAGATTAATCCTTTGTCTGTTGCTTCGTTTGCTATTATTTTCTCCCAATCTGAGGGCTGTCTTTTCACCTTGCTTATAGTTTCCTTTGTTGTGCAAAAGCTTTTAAGTTTCATTAGGTCCCATTTGTTTATTTTTGCTTTTATTTCTAAAATTCTGGGATGTGGGTCATAGAGGATCCTGCTGTGATTTATGTCGGAGAGTGTTTTGCCTATGTTCTCCTCTAGGAGTTTTATAGTTTCTGGTCTTACATTTAGACCCAGAGGGATCGGGTGGAGAGGGAGGTGGGAGGAGGGACCGGGATAGGGAATACATGTAAATCCATGGCTAATTCATTTCAATGTATGACAAAAACCACTGCAATGATGTAAAGTAATTAGCCTCCAACTAATAAAAAATAAATAAATAAATAAATAAAAGCATTAAAGCCAGATGGCTTTACTGGTGAATCTTTACTAAGCTTTCAAAGGAACAGATAATTCTTATCTTATACTTGTTATTCCATGCGAAATCAGCCAGCTCATTGGGAGAAATTATCCAACTCATTTTTAAGAGGTTAATATAATACCAATACCAAGACCACTTAAGGGCAGTAGACTAGACAAGCTCATTTGTGAACACAGGTGTGAAATTTTTAAATAAAATATTAAAATTTAAATCCAGTAGTAATTTTCAAAATAATGTATTAGAATCAGAGTACAGCATAACTAGAAATATAAGGATTTTTGAAAATTAGAGACTATCAGTGCTTTTGACTCCCTAACCTAGTCCCATGACTTAAGTAAGAACAACCCAAGCAGTAGGTCACTACAGTCACTGTGATCCAGACCAAACTATATGGGGGATGACGAAATCAGTGTCTGGGGTTCATTCATACAGCAAGGCTAATGATTTCAACATACAGATAAAACAGATGTGCAACTGCATGATTTGTTAACTTAAACTGACTAGACTGAAGTTGACAGGAAAAACACCTGTCTTATGGATCCAGAACCCAGAAGCTCTCCTGGGTGTCAAGGCTCAAGATTATGTTTTCTTTCAGGACCTCATGTCTTTATCTTCTACATAAATCCCCTGTAGGTGCCTCCCCAGATCTTCCCCCAAGGTAGAGTTAACATCTCTAGCTTATTTCATCTCCTCTAATAACATCACCACTTATTTCATTTGCAGGTGGTATTATTGCCTTAGAAGATCACTATTTTATAGCCATCATGTAATGAGCAGATTCAGGTAGGGATCATCAATGGATGCTAAAACCATTGTGTGAAAGACTGCTGCAGAGCAGAATATTTACATGGTTTCAAAGTATCATTCCATAAGTTACTTGATTAATTACAAAGAGGAAAAGGCACTTTTAAAATGGAATTCTGATGGATACCACCTGAAACAAATGATCAAACTTACCATCACCAATAACAAGACAAATTGACATTATGTACCTTCTGATGGGATATAAGGGGAAGTACACAACATCACACATATAGTATTTTTGCCAAA